GACTCCATCCAGCCCCCTCCTTCTCTGTCGTCCCCTTCTTCTCTTGCCCTCCATCTTTCCCAGCATCAGGCTCTTCTCCAGGGAGTCCTTCCTTCTCATCAGGTGGCCAAAGTACTTGAGTCTCAACTTCAGGACCTGGCCTTCCAAAGAGCAGTCGGGGTTGATCTCCTCCAGGCCTTCCTGTCCTCTACCATCTTCTGGAGTCCATTGAAGCTCACGCCTCCTGCTTCAGGGACTCTGTCCAGTCACCTCCTTCTCTGTCGTCCCCTTCTTTTCTTGCCCTCCATCTTTCCCAGCATCAGGCTCTTCTCCAGGGAGTCCTTCCTTCTCATTAGGTGGCCAAAGTACTTGAGTTTCAACTTCAGGATCTGGCCTTCTAAAGAGCAGTCGGGGTTGATCTCCTCCAGGCCTTCCTGTCCTCTACCATCTTCTGGAGTCCATTGAAGCTCCCACCTCCTGCTTCAGGGACTCCATCCAGCCCCCTCCTTCTCTGTCGTCCCCTTCTTCTCTTGCCCTCCATCTTTCCCAGCATCTGGCTCTTCTCCAGGGAGTCCTTCCTTCTCATTAGGTGGCCAAAGTACTTGAGTCTCAACTTCAGGACCTGGCCTTCCAAAGAGCAGTCGGGGTTGATCTCCTCCAGGCCTTCCTGTCCTCTGCCATCTTCTGGAGTCCATTGAAGCTCACGCCTCCTGCTTCAGGGACTCCATCCAGCCACCTCCTTCTCTGTCATTGTCCCCTTCTTCTCTTGCCCTCCATCTTTCCCAACATCAGGCTTTCCTCCAGTGAGTCCTTCCTTCTCATTAGGTGGCCAAAGTCCTTGAGTTTCAACTTCAGGATCTGGCCTTCTCAAGAGCAGTCGGGGTTGATCTCCTCTAGGACTGACCGGTTTGACCGGTCTGACTGATCATTGAAGCATTAGGACCGTGTTTAAAGACATTATGCTGAATCGGTGTCTAGAGTGGGCAAAAGGAACATTTCCATGGCCCCTGAGACACGGAGAGCTTGAGCTGATCACCAAACGGCAAAAGGCTTTCATTTCTTTGGACCACTTAGCAAAATAAAAAAATAAAAATAAATAAAATTGGCTATTGAAGCCCCAAGATCATGCCAAGCTTCAACTCAGCCACAGAGAGAGGTCGAGGAACTGCTGAGTCTTTGCAACTGGATTTGTGTGTGTGTGTGTGTGTGTTGTTTCACCAGTATTGAAATGTCAAGCCACACAACCGTTTTTTAAGTTTAAATGTTTATTACATTTTTTTATACAGGCAGTCCTTGACTTACAACAAAGCTACAACAGCGTTGAAAAATGCGACTTATGACCGTTTTCCGCAGTTACAACCGTTGCAGTCACGTGATCAAAATTCAGAGGGCATTCCTTCATTTTTTTCCCAATATTGCGCAAATATTATTCTGGCCGCTGTTGTGACGTGTAAAATCAAATATAGGCTTTGTTTGTTACTCTTTTCTAGCATTATATCTAATTTAAAAAAGTTCAGGTTTAAAATCTACATATTCTCCCAACATCTTTTCTAACCAAGTATGTATCTTTTTCCAATAATTCTTTAC